TGTTCTTACCTATAGAGACCAGTGGTCATAAAGGTCAATACTTTACACTGTGATTGGAGGCTGTTCATCACTGATTGTCTAGAGATGGAGGCCAGGGATCCCTTTGATGGTCTGAGGTTTCTTTTTTTGGGGGGGGGGTGGTGGTATAGGATTGAGGTCCACTCACCTCAGTGCTTGTTTACTCATGGGAGGAATAATGTGGCAGTTTTGCCGCAACACTCTGACACTGTGTGGGTTCCTATCTTGGCGGCTTGGATTTGGCAGAGGGGGAAAGCGATTTCTTTTGAATCATGGTTCAGTTGTGAAAGTGACTCTGACAATGAACATAATCCTATTTTCGTGTCAAAAGTCGAGCTTTAGGTGCTGAATCAAAGGCTTCAAAGAGATTGAGATACAAAACTAAATGGAGAGCAGCTTTTGTTCGCAGTATGAGACTATAAAGAGTTTTGACTTTGTCTCATAAGATGGTTTTTGATCCGAAACTCCGCCTGGTATTTTTCCTGTCTCTGACTGATGTCATTTATGTCCATGTCTACCTTTTCTCTGAGCAAGAGTTTTATGTTTTTCCACGGGTTCAAAGCTTCACAGTGATATTGTGCTTACTTCACAGACAGCCCTTACATAATTATCAAAAGCTTACTCCTGTCTTTTGTTGGAAGTGCAACCTAATACAGGCATTGGATTATGATGCTCGAACATACATGGGAATGTTAAGACGCAGCAGTTTCTTTTCGTCTTGATTGCACAATTAAAAACTTAAAATAAAGCTGAATTAATTTAACAGAGTGGAGGCCTTGTGGAGGTGTGTAGCAAATCCCCATTGAATTGACATTACACCAACACGCCTCCCTAGAGGAGCAGGGGAGAGCTGAGCTGGAGGCGGAGGGAGGTTAACGTAGGGTGTGAGGTAAATTTGAGTCAATAATCACACTCCTTCTCGGAGTCTTAGCTCAATCGAATCCTCACAGGCAGACATGAAATATATTGATATCAGTCAAACATGCTTCATTCTTCCTGGAGATATTATTATGTCTGATGTCCATCATGAAGAAACATCCATTAATCTGATTATAAATGAGGGGAAAATGACACTCTGGACCTTTCTTGAGCAACATTAGATTTTTAGGTTTTCTTCAAAGTGATCCAGTAGTAGTTGTCAGTATATCCACAGTCCATGGATATACTGTATGGGTGCATTACAAACAGGGACTACTAATAACTAATTAGGTGTACTTTTCATGATACCAACTTCAGGGAAGCAGGAGAGCACTTCCAATACACTGAGCCTTGCCTCCATTACAGCAAATAAACTACTTTCATTACATGTATCATTAAAATAAAGGAGGAGCTAAAGAAACCAGCAGGTCTGAACAGCGAGTAAACAACAGAAACACCAACAACCAGCAATGAGACAATACACTTGCTGCAGTATAGCAATAAAAGCCCTGCTAAGAAATGAAAGGTTTCTGCCCACTGAAACGCTAGAGGCCTTTTAATTTGAAATGATTACAGGAAGTGTTGAGTTTGTATAAGACATTCTGTCGTATCGAACCTTCTCTCTGGGTAATCATTTCTTAAGTTAATAAAGCTTAAATCACAGCACAGCCTTTGTCTTTAATTTATGTGATTGATGATTTTGTCAGAAGACGTCGTGGTTATGAAATCAGGATTTGACCACAGGCGGTCCAGGCACGTACTAGGTTTTGACCTAGTCTTGTTTTGTCATTATATTGGTTCATAAAAGGGGCTTTATGTTGGTTTCTATCAGATTAACAGAAATGTTTCTGACTTTTTGACTCTCCTTGAGCTGAACAGAAGAGACACATACGGTACTGATTATGTCAGAGAATAATGTCTTAGCTGACAGCGAATAATGGAATAACTGATGGGAGTCTGACAGCAGACATAATTACATTTTCAGATGCAGCCACAGCCATTTACATTAAACTGATTTATTATATCAGACAAAATTTTTATCAGCCCAGTTCAGTCACCAATATAATATAAATGGACCAAACTCAGGAAAGTGTTATCTGATGACATTACCAATTGACCTTGTGTATAAACTCAACACTTTGCAAAACTCAGACAACTGGAAAACAGGAAATAGGATTGACTCGTATGAGCACGGCATGAAGAGCTAAGAGTCCATTTTTCTGAAATACCACAGTGAGTCAAAATCTTACAAGGTCATACCATCAATCAACTGAAATCGATCAACAGGTTAAGGTAATTCCTCAATCCACTTTTTTTCCATAAAATCCATAAAGCCCTTACAAAGTGGTTTCTTTTTTTTTCTTTTTTTTTACGTGCATTTTTAATTTGGAAAAAGCTGTTTATCTTGATGCCTCCAACTCTTAACATTGAGATAACACTGGTGGATGAAAATTCTGTCTGGCGACATCTGACCATGTGCCTTGTTATTTCCTCGTGCCACATATGGGATGGGATCGTACACAACATAACAAAAGCTTAAAAGATACTTTAACATGCCACAGTTAAATCCCCCTTTCAGTACCATGGATAGCTCCACTCGGCCAGGCGTGCCAAGACACTTATTTATAAACTTCAATATTTAATAGAAAATAATCTCACAAAGCAAAAGCAGAATGTGCTGTCACCATAAATATAAATAGGCTATAGGCAATGACATTTAAAGTCCATTTCTGATTTTATTGTTGTCTTCATTCATAGTTTGACTGGCCATCGGGAGCAATCAGGAGAAATCCTGGTGGGCCACTACATCGGTGGGTGGGTCAAAAGAAACCCATGAACTCTCTGTGCTCCTGTCATTCATTCATTCATTGCTGTGCGCATTTCCCCGGACCAGGCTCACATATGTAATCAACCCCTCACCGAGGCGACCCGAGCTATCACCGCCACAAATACTTTGGGGGTGGGGGATGAATTTTGTCCCCCCTGTGGATAGAAATATGTCAGCAGAGCCAGGGATATATAGAGACGAGGAGGATAAACTCATGCTGCCTGTCATATCATGTGCATGCCTATTTAGCATAATTTACATTTCTGCCACTTTATTAATTTCAGCAATATAATCATGCTATTGTCAACACTTTGTTGGCACAATGGTGGCATGAGCCTCTACAGCTCTTGTTGCTGGCAGTCACCCAGCAGCCCTGGCTTCCCAGCTCCTCAGGAGCTGCCAGGAAGCAGAGCTGCACCTCCAATTCACTGAGCCTGACCTCCATTACAGCAAATAAACTACAATTATTACAGGAACCATTATCACTAAAGGAGGCATAGGAATAACTAAACATCCCACACACTCAGCAAGAGAGAGCAGGAGAGAGAAGCCATCAGTAATTGTGAAGCAAAAGAAACTAGCAGATCTGAAAAGCATGTAAACAACAGAAAAGCCAGCAACCTGAAGTGAGACTACATGTACTGCTGCACAGTAATAAAACCCTTGTTAAGCAATAAAGGGTATCTGTCAACTGAAACGCTAGGGGGCTTTTAATTCGAAAGAGTTATAGGATGTGTAGATTTTGTATTTATGTGTAATGCAGTAACTTTAATCGGGCAAATGGGAGAGAATCGATACCAATATGACCAATTATACATATGAAACAGAGGGAGTTAGAAATAAAGGCTTGTCCAACAGTCCAACACTTGGTCCACCAATGTTGTAACTTCATCACTCAACTCTGCCAGTCAGTCAGTCAGTCAGTCAGTCAGTCAGTCACAGACATTTGCGATTATAGGGCTGGCCCAGTTGTTGCAGTCCAGCCAATAAAAAGAAAAGGCTGTTTGGTCATCAGAAAAGCAGGTAACTTGATTTACCCATCTGTTCTTTGTTTTAGTGTCAATTAAAAAAAAATGTTTCTTTCTATTGATCACTCCCTAATGTGGTCACTTCGCCACCAACACCCTTATTAACAGCCCCTGTGAAAAATGACCAGGAGAAAAGTCAATACACATCTGGGTGGGTCTATTCTAATGGAACAAAACAATAAAAATTGAACCACTAATTTGAATGTTATTTTTTTCTCTTTTTTTCCCCCATTAAAATGTCAGATACATCAGGTCATGATGCAATCTGCTATCTATGTTCATTCAACTAATTCTTTAACATTCAAAACTGCAAAATAGAAGAAATTATATATATATATATATAATTTCTTCTATTTTGCAGTATATATATATATATATATATGTATATATGTCCAATTCCATATGGTTTCAGGATACTATATTCATGTATTCATGAGCACTTTAATATGTATTATACAGTATATCTTAATGAAATTTTGCACCTTCTCGTACCTTATTTTTGCCCTCGCCCACCTTTGGTCGGTCCGCAGTGCACAGAAGTCGGATTGTATTTGGATGTAGTGATTTATTGCCTAGAAAACTAAATCATCTTAGATATATATACATAATGAAAACAGCTTGCGAGGTTTCTGATGAGAGACGTCTGAGTGAAAATAAGCTTCATGCCCCATAGAAGAATTTCTGACCCCAATAAGCTGTTAATATACCAAACAAAATGACTTCAGGGCTGATGACCATTACTTTTTTTTTTCTTCCAATACGTGACCAAAATATCTTCATCTCTCTCAAACACACACACATACACAAAGAAAAATGTACAGTCCCATGTTAAAAGCAGAATCCTTCTCATAAAATATATATGAACCTCAGTTCAGTTCAGTAGCAGTATAGTATATTCTTTTCGCAGTTCTCTGGTGCTTTCCCTGGAAGTAGGCTGCTTGATCAGAGGACAACAAGCCAATTGAAACCATTAACTCAAATCACTCATTTGAAAAATAAATAAATAATATATCTAAGCTGTGAGGAACTAGCATTCACAGCTCTTCACTGCACGTCTATAGCATGAGGGAATTAACTCTTCATCTAAGCCATACTTTAAAATCCCCCATATCCCATAACAGACTTTCCATACCCAGCTGCTCTCATTACCGCTGCTGCTTATTGCAAACTCTCTCTCTCTTTCTCTCTCTCTCTGCGATCGCAACCAGGTACACCAAGATGAAGACGGCCACGAACATCTACATCTTCAACTTGGCTCTCGCCGACGCCTTGGCCACGAGCACGCTGCCCTTTCAGAGTGCCAAATACCTTATGAACACCTGGCCGTTTGGGGAGGTCCTGTGCAAGCTCATTATCGCCATCGATTATTACAACATGTTCACGAGCATCTTCACCCTCACCATGATGAGCGTGGACCGCTACATCGCCGTGTGCCACCCGGTCAGGGCGCTGGGGTTTCGTACGCCGGTCAAGGCCAAGCTGATCAACGTGCTCATCTGGGTGCTGTCCTCAGCGATTGGGGTTCCCATTATGGTCATGGCTGTGACCAAAGTGGCTGATAATGGTACTGTTTTGTCTTTCATTTTTATTTAAAGTCTTAATGTTTGGTGCAAGTGTTAACTGTCCTCCAGAACAGACGTAGTTAAACAGTTTAAAAGATCCTTAAGACCTTCACGAGATGGTACACAAAAGGAAACAAAGAATAATGGTGATTATGAATCGTAGTCCCTAACCATGACCCCAAACCATCGACTGTGGAGGCTCAGAGTGAGTCGTAAAACCTCTGAAACATTTAGACCACTAGATCCTAAAAACCCTCCTTTGAAACCAAACGTTTCAAGGTAGTTCCTTCAGGGGGGGGGACGCACTACTTTTCCTACTCAGCCAGAATTCACAAAACCTCACATATGCCCTTCTTCTGTCTCTGCTTTGAAGAGGGAAATACTTATTAATTAATGTTTTAAAGGAGCAAAACTGTGTCTATAGCAGGTAACTGAGTCAGAAAAAAAACCAAAAAAACAGCCCAGTATTCCTAGTGATTGTCATATCAGACAAATCGCACGATTTACATTCAGAGCCAGTACTGGAGGCGGTGTTCCCCTTTATGTAGAGAAGTGTGAAGCAACTCCCAGATCACACATATAGGCACTAGAGGCCCCCCCACTGTGATTCAACACTCAGAAGTCGTCAAAAACCTTGAGATGCTACAAAAGGCACCAGACATGTGGGAGGGACAACTCTGAAGCAACAAATTGTTCTTGTTCTGTTTGCGTCCGGAAAACAGAAGAACAGCTGCTTTCTACTGCCAGCTCCACTTTGTAACTGTACTTAAAAGTTAAGTGGACGAGAAGCTGGATCTTACGCTTCCGAATTAAATAAGATATCATTTTAATGAGGGGCTACGACTTGATGTGCACCCAGTTTAGCTGCACCGGGGGAAATAACTGTCGACTTAGGGCTGCGTGTGGAAATTATATCCTTAACATTTACCATAAATGAAAGCCTCAGGCTGGTGTGAGACTGGAGAGAGCCAGCTACTTTATGGGTGTCTGGCTGAGGAAGTCAGGTTGGTGGATGGACATCGTAAGCACAGTCAACCTTCATTTGTAAGCCTGGATTTTGCATCCTACAGACCGACTGTATGCACGATCGTTTCCTAACCTTAACCTGTTGCTTAATTGTCAAGGAATGGGCCGGTATACTCAAACCAAAGTTGCTTGTCCGATGGTCAGACAGCTTAGGAAACGTCTTCCCTCCGAAGCTTTTTGACGACAGATTTCGGAGGCAGTTACACAGTGATTGACCAGGTATGCAGAGGTGGCAAAATTTGTGGTATTTGAGTAAATCCCTTAAGCCCCGTTTTTCCATTCTTTACACAACTACCCCCGTCACTTTTTGTGCCATAATATGAATGCCTTCCAGGAGAGACTGAAATACGTGCCATTATATATAATCTCCTCTCGCTCTGACAGCCAGCTTTTCACCTGGCCTTTAAGTGTGGCTGTTCAGAGGAAGTATGAATACTTTGCTTTCCATCACAGTCAGATGACACATGGTACAAGGTAGGTCTTTTCTAGCATTACCCAGCCCTAACCATCCATTAGCCACGGTGTCATTCGTCAATCATACCATTGATGCACAAAGGTTTAAAATGTCACAGAGGGTAATCAAAATGTTCCCTCCTGGTGATAGGATTAGAAAATCTCCTCGCACATAATATATTCTTGATATTCTTGACAGTTGTCACAGTCGTACTCCGGGCTGAAGTGTGCATTTTTAAGTACACGTGTTCCTCTGCAGCTTTAGCTTTTTAAATCCACAAAACATTATCTTTCTAAACCTGCTTGATACTGTAACCCTACATTGACTAATTCTGTCTAATGCTACCTGCCCTCTTCTTCCAGGTAAAACCATGTGCATGCTGAAGTTCCCTGACCCTGACTGGTACTGGGACACAGTGACGAAGATCTGCGTCTTCATCTTTGCTTTTGTGGTTCCCGTACTGGTCATCACCATATGCTACGGCCTGATGATCCTTCGTTTGAGGAGCGTTCGTCTGCTCTCGGGCTCCAAGGAGAAAGACCGCAACATGCGCCGGATCACCCGCATGGTGCTGGTGGTGGTGGCCGCCTTCATCATCTGCTGGACCCCGATCCACATCTTCATCATCGTGAAGACCATGGTGGAGATCGACACCAGGAACCCCCTGGTGATAGCCAGCTGGCACCTGTGCATCGCCTTGGGCTACACCAACAGCAGCCTCAACCCTGTGCTCTACGCGTTCTTGGATGAAAATTTTAAGCGATGCTTCAGAGATTTCTGCCTCCCCTGTCGGACCCGCGTGGAGCAGAACAGTCTGACCAGAGGCCGCCACACCACCAGGGAGCCCGTCTCCATCTGCGCTCCGACAGAAGCGGTGAAGAAGCCGGCATGACTAGGCATGGACTGGGTCCCCCACAGCTCTCGCTCGAGGAGGATCCAACAAGATCTGCAGTCGGAGGTAACGCAGATCTCCACGACAGAGTTTTAACATGTCCTCACAAGAAAAGCAAGTCTCAAAATACAGTGATATCACTTAATCTCTCCAGTTTGGCTGACATACTGGAAATTCAAAGGAAAAACGCTAAAGATGATGGGAAATAAGCTTCAACCTGATCACACAGTGGAATCTTATTTCACACAGGGAATGTGATGAGTTACAAAGGCAGTGACAAGAGATGAGGAGAATGTGAATTTGATAAAAACAAGGTTACAAAACAGAAAATCCCCAGCTCACGATTTACCCAAAGGACCAAGGGCGCGAGAGTACAGGACGTTCTGATGATGCAAAAAAGGACAAAGAAACAGCCGCAGGTTTCTGTATTGTCAAGCAAAGAACGCCTCATTCAGGCACGACCCATTGTGGTAGAAAAGACGGGCTGAATAATGTGCCACAAAAGAATGAAACGACGGGCCTTTTCAAGTCGAACTTTGAATCAAATTAGATTTTGGTGTTTTTGAAAGAGAGAGAAAACTTTTTTCGTCTGTATCTTTAAAGTCCATGTAAAAAAAAACAAAAAACAAATGAGCCTCGCAGAGCAGAACCATACCGCATATCCACCGACAGCTGGATGATGGGTTACAGCACAACAAGTTCATCCACTCTCTATATGGAGAAGTAGGGATTCTGTGTGACTCAACCTTTTTTTTTATTTATTTATGTACTCTTTTTTTCTTTTTACAGTAAAATGAGACACTTGTCTTTTGTTTTTTGTTTTTCTCTTTAGACTGATGGTCAGAGAAAGAGAGAAATTTGTGGCTTAATGTTCCACGGATTTGGAAAAAGTGTCTCAAAAGGCATGAAATCATAATGAAGCCAACTTATGTGGGAGTTTTCTGCTCACATGGAAAAAAAATTCACAACAGCATCAAACCATTGATGCTTGGATTTCTATGGACTTCTTTTCAGCTACTTGACTTTCATAGAGGGCTGTTGAGCCCTCAGAGAGCCTCTGAGCAGAGTCACTGCAGAATGATAAACCTGCCACCGAAGAACCCTGCAGGCGGCCGCCACAACACTTCACTCTCCTCGCCAGTTTATCGTTTAAAACAAATGTAAAGTCGAAGACAGACGCCTCAGCTCCGACTGAGAGCAGCTCCGTCACAGTGTAGATAAAGACGCCCATCCTGATGTCGACGGATAAACCGCTTCAAAGAGATTATTGATCTGCTTTTTAAATTAGCAAAAAAGCCTGTCATCTGTCGCGTTAAATATCTGTAGCACATTTAAGACACATTGAATGGCATTAGCCGGAGCGCTACATTATTCTGGTTAATGCTGGGTAATTTATTTACTCCCAGCAGATCTTGACACCAATAAAATTGAAGACATCAATCAGCGGACGCCAAGACGTTCATTCCCATTTCAGTTTTGCATACCAGATGAGGTATGTCTGCAGTAATGATGCGGAGTTGATCCGAATCTCATGGGGAACTACTTCGAGGGCTTAATATATGTTGACATGTAAACATGTCGTAATGTACCACGGTTTTGATTAATGTCTGAATGTCACCTTCTTAGAGATGTAGACCAGATAAAACACATCAAACAGAATATAAATCAATGACAATGAATAATGAAATGGAAAAAAACTTCATACATGTGAATTTGTAGATAATATAAAGCTTTGGCATTTGAGCAAATTTGGCTTCGGCCACCGTTAAAATGACTATGAGGTGTACCTGTGATTCTTTATGCTTTGTTTACACTCGAGGATTTCACCACGATGATTTCTGGCTCACGCAGCTCACATGAAAAGAGAAGGGAGGACGACAGTCGGGCACTTGGGGATGGATTTCTGCTCTGTTTACAGATTCAGCTATTTGCTTATGGGGTTGACTGTAGAGTTACCCACAGAGACTGAGATAGAGACAATAAATATTGACTTTACTGTGTGCAGTAGGAGAGTGACATTTTTGCAGTGTAATACATTCCTGAATATTTTTCTTACAATGACGGTGGTGATTTCAAGTGTACTGTAGTGTATATATTACCGCTCTCTGCTTAGCTTTGACCAAGTGCTGCATCTGTCAGGTGTGCAGGATATCTCTCGTTATTTTTGCAAAATCTAGATATATTAAGGGCAGAATGTATAGAATTATTTTATTTGGGGAAATCATCAAAATACTTCCAGTAAACTGATGGTTTCAAATAACTGTAATAAGGATCAAAGTTAAAGCGTGTGGGTGTGTGTGCATGGACTTTCATTTTCATTATCACATGGGGACGAGGAGTGAATTGTAATTTTTTCTCCTTGTTGATACTTTGCTGTTCAAATTGAAAACATAGTTTGTTTTTGTAATTGTTTGAATTTTTCTCTGCAAGTTTGAAAAGGAGCAATCAGTAATTTCAGACGGTAACCAAGTAACGCAGGTATCCAGGTGTCGCTGATTAATGTTGGACATCCAGTCTTGGCTCGAGCAGTCTGTTCCACACCTGAGGCGTTTCAATTATAAACCCCGCCTCCTGGATGCAACACATGACCTCTGACCTTCACCCATAATGAAATATGGAAGAGCAAACAGCAACCAAATAAGCTGTAATGTCTAAATGGTTTCCCATATTATCCCCTAAAACGTGTTTTTCCGTGGCAGCTCTTCACCGCAGCTTCACACACGGGAACGAAAACAACAAAATGAATTACATTCATGAAGCAGGCGGCGCTCCGTCATCAGAGGCTTTTTGTGTTTGCAGGGTCTTAAATCACATTTAACTGGCAAAACAACATTTAAAACAATTTCACCTGTGACAAACATCTCAGAAAAAGCCTGAATTATGTTCCAAGAGAAACTAATGTTTTATTTTTGTTTGTTTTTTTTTTCCCAGTGCCAATGTTTTTCAAATTCTCACCTTTTACAATATTTGCGCATGTGGCCTCTGTGGGTTAAGGCATCTAAAACAGCTGAAGTTATGGAAAGCTCTGTGTTCCAATTAATTAAAAGGCAAACACTAATTACTCAATTAGTAAAGGGCAAGCTAATGCCTGCATTGGCAGTCAGCGTTGGCACTGAAGCGACCAACAAGGATTATAATCCCGAGGGATTCTGGAAGCTTGGAAACCGACATCAATGTGATTCTTGGCATCACCGAAAAAAAAACATTTTACGGCAGTTTCTCATTAAATCCTAGTTTGTCGTGTTTTATTAATTAACTGCGGCTAAATCGCGCCATGTGAAACGGTTCAGGAGGTGTGTGTGTCGGAGACGGGAGAGGAGAGGATGGGGAAGTGAGGTGAGGTGAGGTGAGGTGAGGTGAGGTAAGGTGAGGTGAGGGAGCAGAGCTCAGAAATGTGGAGGAGTGCTGCGTTCCTGCTGATTACAATCACCGTTTCTGAGGAGCTCATATTACTGATTGCTCCTTTAATCTCTCCTTTGTTCAGCTCTCACTCGTTTTTTTGTAATTTACTTCTTCATTGTCAATTTTGTCAATTTTTTCTACTTGATATACAACTGCTTTACACTGTAAACTGAATACTGAAAAAGCCTGTGTGAATATAAATGACTTCATTTGTGTATGATGATGGTAATTTGTTGTATAACCACTGACTCCAATACAGTGTGTGAGGCGATTAGTGCTAATACTTGACACTATACTAGTTCTTTTGCAGTGTTAACCAATTACTTCTTAGCTCCTTCTTGTGCATCTGTTGTAGAAAAACATTTCTAATGTTTTGAAGCCTATTGTCAGATTGTTGGCAAAAATAAATAAAAATAAAATGAAGCCGAGAGAAAAATAATACAAGCTCTTGTTCTGAAAAACTTCTGTTTTGGTTCCCTGGATATTAGAGGAAATGGGATAGCGTAATATTTTCTTGAAAATTATGGAGCTCATAACAGAATAATCCATCTGGTACGACCGTGATTCAATTTAAAAGTGAAGAGAGCCTCAGAATAGCCCGCCATGACATCACATAGCAAAGTGCATTTCCACTGGCGCTCGGAAAAACACACAAGAGATGGCCCGAGGCTGCTCCGAGTCCCAGAGTGTGCTATCCACCGCTGTCAAAAAACATTAAACATCCACGTCTGCATCTGCATCTCCTCGGCAAATTTCAGACCAGCATCCTGCGGTCGCCATGGAGACTGGCAGCACCGCAGCCACAGAGCGGTCCAGAGGAAGAGCTGAGGAGTTTCGATTTAATTACGGAGGTTTCCTTCACTAGCAGGCCGCTTATCAATTATCCTGATTGCTCCATCCACAACAGCAGAGACGCCTCCCGGGAGAGTCTCCCTGATGTCAAATTCAACAGCAGTTCAATGTATATTCTAATATTCAGGATACTGTGCTGCTGCTCCCTTATCTCCTACAAACTACAATTACAGTGGATAGAGAAATGTAATGCCGCCTGAGTTACAGGTCGTTGTTTTTTTTTTCCAAGTCACAGAGTGTTCATGCATCTGAAACCATTTTCCCAGCAACCTCTACTCACGGCAACTAAAGCATGATTAATGGTTTTTAATATTTTTATGCTCATAGCTCCAGGTTAAGGCTGAGAAATAGAAAAAGTCTGTGTCTTTGTTGATAGTGAACAAAACAAATAACTTTTTACACCAAAATTAGCAGGTGTAAATGGGTTTTTTAAACGCAGGTAAACCATCTAAAAAAGGCGATTGACTCTCCTTCTACACTGCCAGCTGAGTTTACACACACACACACACGCACACACACACACACACACATATACACACACATAAAATGGATTCCACGTTTGTGCTCCTGCATTATCATGATCTTCCCTGAAGGATGTGTTTCATTTGGACTTCAGGGTTATTTCCTGTTTTATTTTGGAACAACTTACCTTGTGTTTCTTGTGGTTATTTTACTTCCTGTCTTTGTCCTGTTCCCTCCTTTGTGATTGTCTGCCCCACCCTAACGTGTGTCACTTGTCTTCAATCGCCCCCATGTGTCCATGTAGTCTCCGTGCTCTCCTTTGTCTTTGTCAGTTTGTCCTGTTTTAACTCTGAGTGTCTCTGCTCCTGATTCGTTGAGTATTTGGATTTTCTGTTGAACTTCCTGTTTCGTTCCAGTGTTCCTCTGTCGTATCCTGAATTCTTTTTGGGATTTTGAGCTCTCTGCATTTTCACCATTTGTGGGGTAAGTTTCTGTTTTTTTCTTCATTTATTTTATCTATATTATTTCAAACGATCTGCATTTGGGCCCTTGAAACTGCATAACCTGAGATGTATGTGTCGGAGTCTTCGTGTGACACACTTCAATCTGTGATTGTGTGTTTTAAAAACTTATTTCGGGGGTGCAGCTCACTCTTTCATCTCCGAGCACAGTGTGGAGTGTAGCTGCAGGAATGAAAATGAGAAAGTTTACCCAGGTGTTATGTTTACTTCCTTGCTGATCTGAGCCGGAGCCGATAAATACCTGCGTCTACTGCAGAGTCGTTTGACCCGGGAGTGAATGCAGATTGAACCCTTTTCCATCACCGACAAAACGCCGATGTTAGCGGGTCTTAGCGGGTTTTTTGATCAGTGGAAAAGGGGCTTAAGAGTCTACACCCATGCTAACAACTCTGCTTGGCTGTACTTGTGCACAGAATGCTAACAACGTCATGGCGTGCTCACAATGACAATGCTAATAC